GCTATAGCGCTGCACAGCAAAAACGCATAAAAATGGAACGCCATAAATGCTGGGATATAATGATAGACGCAAACTGACACAAGTCCCATTACAGCTAAAGGACGATAGATGTAATCCACTCTTTCTGGATTAAAAAGGCAGATGCACGCGCGCCAGTAATACACTGCCGATGCGTTGTTTGGTTCCTAAGTTCCGATATTTCCCAGTAGCAATTTCATATACCTGTGCGTGAAACGCAAGTGTATGTGAAAGCTGAATTTGAAAATTTCGATGGCAAACATTCTTCCAAAACTTTAACTCCCTGGTTTTCTGGCCCCTGTTGATTTCCCTGCCAAAACTTTCATGTGGTTGTGCACTAAATCTGGGCATACTTGGGAGCCAATCGAGAGAGTTAACCAGAAAGCAGTTCTTGTCCAAAGTAATTACAGAGCAACCACATTTTCGCCCTAAACTAGCTGCTGGAGCACGAGAGGGAATAAAAGTTCTTCCTCCCGTCGAATACAAAGCAGCAAAGGTAATATTATAACAATAGTATAACAGTGCTGTTAATAATGTGGTGGCAATGAAAACAGCAGCAATAACGACAACAAACAATAACAGCGATTATAATCCCGCAAAGTTAGGCACAGCATATATTCTATATAAAGTTAGGCCAGAGCAAGCTTTAGCAGTCCATCGATAAACGTTTTTATAGTTTCTCTCCTGGACTCAAATATTTTTCGTGTGGTTTTACGCTGTTTGCCAGAAAATCAGCTACAAATGCGCCACACTGAAACCCGATATGGCTGCTCTGCAGTCGCTCAAGAAATAATTAAGGCGAAAAACTCACATCGGCGAATGTAACCTCCAAAGAAATAGACATAGGAATCGCATAAAAGTGCACAAGCATTGCTTGTTGAAGGAGGTACGTCACCGTTAGGCACATGATACAGTATCCTATAACTTTCATTACTGAAACCCGCTGGAAAACATGCAACCAAATATGTTGAGCGAGAGAGCGGACCAACCATTTCAAAGTTCTGCAGCCAGCCAACAGACCAGCGGGTAAGATATACAGGTACTTGGTGGGACTATGCCGAATGCTACCAGCGATGAAAAAATTGCCACCCCAAAGAACCAGCGCATTCCTGTACCTGAACATTGCGTGCCCTACGGTTGGAATGGCTGATTCGTGCTCGTCAACCTGAAACATTCATTCTTTCACGCTTCTGAACAGCTCTCAGCACAACACCGATGAGCTCCATTCCCTTTCGTCCCAATCAGGACCGCTCACTACGAGAAACAGGCATCCTTCTCACATTCACATCGAAGTGTATGTGCCACTGGTACACTGGCAATGCCAATTTCCTTAATTTCAACAGGCTTCTTTCATCCCTTCTAGACTGCCACAGTTATCCTTTCACTGATATGGCCAACCTTCGATGCAATGTGATGCATATAAATCATTCAGCTTGAAAATTTTTTAGTTAAATTTCATTTAACAAAAGATCGGATTCCAAGCAAATGACAGCAACAGCAGCAGCAGAAGTTCAACCGAGAAATAACAATTTTCTAACACGCGTAAAAAAGCCGGCAGTGCTAATATGACAGTGAAATACGTATGCAGAGATAGATATAAAAATACCTCATTAAAGACAGCGCATGTAATGCCGGCAATGCTAACATATACAGCGGTGGATGAGTGAAGTTTTCTGTAGGGTAACTGCGAACTACCTGGTACAGTGACCGAATTGATGCAGTATTACAAGATGAAAACTAGCTGAGCTGTCCTGCGCGATTGATCTACTTCCGTATTCCTCTTTTGGACCTATCTCATTCACAAAATTCCGAACAGCCGCTCAAGCAGACCTTCCCACCGTGCTGGAAGGCCTCCCTGTGTTCCCTTAGTATCATTCAATGACCCGTCTTGCCCATATGTTGTCTCCCATTCTTGCCGTATGAGCACTATCAACTGCACTCTCTTTCACAGCCCTGAACATACCACACCGAAACCCAAGTGTTTTACTGGAAATGCGCTGCATCTTACTGACACTCGCAGTCTTTCGTCTCTCACTGTCCAATGGGTGAATAAAGAAAGCGAAATTGCTAGCCGGCTCACCTGACCAGCCGCAATCAACGCGCGGATGAAACAGTCAAGGAGACTTACCAGAATACGATAAGGCTGCCGGACAGGCTCCCATGCCTTATCGGCGTCTTCTGGCGGACCACCAAACATCGCTCTCTTCGGCTGA